CAGGCGCCCGCCACCTCGCCTGGCTAGTTTTTTGTATTTTTTTAGTAGAGACGGGGTTTCACCATGTTAGCCACGATGGTCTCGATCTCCTGACCTCGTGATCCGCCTGTCTCGGCCTCCCAAAGTGCTGGGATTACAGGCTTGAGCCACCGCGCCCGGCCAAGAATATTCTTAAAAATTTTTGTAGAGGCAGGGTCTTGCTGTGTTACCCAGGCTGGTCTCAAACTCCTGGCCTCAAATGACCCTCCTGTCTCAGCCTCCCAAAGTGCTGGGATTACAGGCATGAACCACCATGCCCAGCTGGTTCCTGAGGAACTCACTGTGGGAATACTACTTTTTTCTTTTTTTTTTTTTTTTTTTTTTTGAGACAGAGTCTCGCTCTGTCGCTCAGGCTGGAGTGCAGTGGTGCGATCTCGGCTCACTGCAAGCTCCATCTCCCAGGTTCCCGCCATTCTCCTGCCTCAACCTCCCGAATAGCTGGGACTACAGGCGCCCACCACCACGCCCAGCTAATTTTGTTTTTGTGTTTTTAGTAGAGACGGGATTTCACTGTGTTAGCCAGATGGTCTGGATCTTCTGACCTTTTGATGCACCCGGCTCAGCCTCCCAAAGTGCTGGGATTACAGGCGTGAGCCACCATGCCCAGCCCACTGTGGGAATACTTCTATTAAGCACCTGCTGTGTGTTCTGAATAGGACAGCCAGGGTCCACCTCTTCTCTCTGGGCTTGTTGAGAAGAGGGGTGCCCCGCCTGACAGTGTGATGGGACGGGGAGGCCTCAATGCCATTTGGCCATGTGAGCATTCTTAGTCCAAGGTACACATTATATACTGCCTTCTTTCCTCTCTGTCTTTTAACATTTCCAAACCTACACTCTGTGATATCTAGCCTCACAGCTTACATCACAGCTTAATGTCCTTGCAGTTAAGATACCCAGCTTTCTGTTTTCCCCACAGTAAGCTGCACATAGTCATAGCGAATTTGGGAAAGATGGAAGGAATCATCCAGCCTCGTGGTTCAGAGCCCAGCTCTGCCAGAGTCAGCCGTGCAAGCCTGTTTTCCCATCTGTAACGTGGGGAGAAGAGCACTGCCCAGCCCAGAGGGCCACTGCAGAGATTCTGAGAGAACCTAGGAAGCGCTGCTCGGCACCACCTGCACACGGGGAGGCCTGGCGCTGCAGCGGGCACCCTCATCACCATAGGGAAGGCCCAGCTGCCCCCGGGGAGGCCTGTTCTCCTAGGCAGGGTGTGGGAAAGGAGTTGGCCTCTGCTGCTTTCTGGGAGAGCCAAGGCCACCCCATGGAGTGCTGACAGGGAAGCCTTGTCTCCAGTGGTTCCCCAGGTGGGGCCTTGCCCTACCCCCTCCTCTGACCTCCACTCACTCATCCCTTTGACCCACAGGTGCACGTTGGGGGCAGCCTGGCCGTCCTTGGGGGAAAGCTGTACGTCTCTGGGGGATATGACAATACGTTTGAACTCTCGGACGTGGTAGAAGCCTATGACCCAGAGACTCGCGCATGGAGCGTGGTGGGGCGGCTCCCAGAACCCACCTTCTGGCATGGCAGCGTCAGCATCTTCCGCCAGTTCATGCCCCAGACCTTCTCAGGTGGGCGCGGCTTCGAGTTGGACAGTGGCAGCAATGACATGGACCCGGGCCGACCCCGGCCACCGCGGGACCCTGATGAGCTGCACTAGCCCCGGTCTGGCCCTGCATGGGCCTTGGTGCAGGTAACTGGCACCTCTGCGGGGCAGTGCCCCACTCCTTTGTGCACAAGGACAGGTTGGGCTCACAGGAGGAGCACAGGCTCTTGGGTGGCCGAGCAAGCCCAGGATCCATTACCTGGAAGGTTTCTGTGCCTTGAAAGCCTGATCTGAGGCCATCGGGAACGCCCTTCCCGCAGTTGAGGAGGAGCTACTTTCCTGCTGGCACGTTTCTGGGTCTTGGAGGTCACCCCCACCCTGCGGATCACAGCTCACCCACGCGCCGCACACCCCTCCTGCTGCTGTCATCTGCACCTACTTGCTCCCACGCTGGGAGAGGAGGACAACTTGGGAGGGACGCGTGAAGGGAGGGGGGGTCCTCCCATGAGGCTGAGGATGACCTGAACCTGGAGCAGCGGACCAGACACCAGGCAGAGACTAAAGTGGGCTCCCAGATTCCACATCCAGAGGTGTGGGGAGCCTGCCTCCCTAGCTCCTGGCCCCTGCCAAGGGCTTGCTTCAAAACACCTCAGAGTGCTGGTCTCCAGAGGCTGCACCCAGGACAGTGGGACATGAGCAAGGGTGTGGGCTGGGAGGGTGAAGAGGATGTGGCCATATCAGATGCTGGACCTCCCCAGCCATAGTCCCCCGCTCCCGCCCCGACTGGCTGTTGTGTCCTCACCTCTCACCCTCTCCTTCACCGGCCTGGGACAGAAGCCCAGGGGAGGTTTCAGCACCAGGTCATAGCTCCTTCCCAGGAGGCCCTGGGAGGCGGTCATTGACACCCAGCCAAGCAGACAGCTGTGGGTGCCCGAGCCCTTGCTGGGCCTGCGCATGAGGAGTCCCACCGCTTCCAAAGGAAGTCCTGGGTAGGAGGTGGCCTTGGTAGTTGGTTCCAAAGTTGAAAATGCTTGCAGTTTGACCTTAGAAGAAGAAGTGGGAAGAAGAGGGAGCTCTACAGGGTCAGCTTTGTTCCTTTTTTCAAGTCTAGAAAGTCCTATTGCCAGAGCTTTCTGCAGGAGCTCCCGGGCGAATGCCGCAGCTTGGCAGCCCCGGGTTTTCTCTTAGAAATGGTCAGTTTCCCCTCAAAGTACCCAAAGTACCCTTGGCTTGAGTTTTTGTCCTTGCCTCCCTTTTCAGAGGAGAGGGCGTTTACACTGCATCTTCCTCGTTAAAGAAGATTAAAGCAAATGTGTGTTGCCTTTTCTAGTGAACTAACTTGTAGAGATGTTCTCAGCAGGAAGACAGTCTTAGCACTGTCACTTAGCAGATTGCACTTAAGACCCTTGTGCTGGCCAGATGGCACGGCTGGTTGCCTTAATATGTCCCCTAGGAAGGGCTAGGGGACACCTGACAGGGCTGCCTGGCCTCTCCCTCGTGCTCCTGAAGAGCCCAGTCCATACACCGTGGATGTCATTGCTGTCGGGTTAGAAAGTCTTGTCCTAGAACACCCTGGCTGGTGTGGTTACAGTTCGTGGCGGCTCTTCTCCGTTGAATCATGGTCATCTCCCAGCACCTGCTGTGTACCAGGTGCTGGTGGGAAGGCCGAGGATGGAGGCCCAGCACTGTCCAGGCCTGCTGGGACCTGGCTGGGAGTCCTGTGGGCGGCGTGGAACATGCAGCTGGGCTTCCTGTGACCAGGCGCCCTCTGGCACGGTTGCTTGCCCTGTGCCCTGGGCCTTTTCCTGCCCTCCTCCTTCCTCTGCTCCCTTGGGGCTACCCCTTGGACTCTCCTGGTCTGTGCAAACTTCCTCAGGGAGCTTCCCTGCCCTGTAGCACTCACTTAACTTCCTAGGGGGCTGCTGAGCCCATCCAGAGGTTGTTGGAGCTCAGTGGGGCAGCTTGTCTCCCTTGGCAGCAGGGGCATAAGGGCTGGGTTTGGCCATACAAGGTTGGCTATGCCCTCAATCCCTGACTGTCCCAGCCACTGAGCTCGGCACCCAAGGAAGGACATGCTGTCCAGACTGTGTGATGACTGCCAGCACAGGGCATCTCGGGCTGGGCTGGGCTGTGAGGCTTTGCCTCTGTGGAAGAGAACTCTGGGTTCCTGTTTTCTCACTCACTCTTTGCGGCTTTGCTGTGGTTGGCAGCTGCCGTACTCCAGGCCTGTGGTGGCCACTCAGACAGGCTGTGGTGCGAGCCAGTGCAGGAGAGCTGGGTTTGGGATTGTGCCCTCTCCTGTGTCTGTCCTCCAGACCTGCCCAGGTCTCCACCATCAGGACCCCGTCTTTGGGTTTGGAAGACCAAGTATGGGGAAGAGCAGGCACCAGCCTCTGCAGCAATGGGTCCCTCTAGCCTGTGGACACCAGCTGGGTGTCCAAGGTCACCTTGGACCTTGGTCAAGGTGGATCCAAGGTCAGGCCCTCCTCTCCCCAGCTCCCCTCTGCTGTGGGTTCTGGGCTGTGATGTCCCCACCACTTAAGGATGTCTTCACACTGACTTCAGGACAGATGCTGGGAAGCCTGGGCATGGCCACGCGTTACGTGTACAGAATTTTGTCTACAGCACAAATTAAGTTATGTAAACACAGTGACTGGTATTTAATGCTGATCTACTATAAGGTATTCTATATTTATACGACTTCAGAGACACGTATGTAATAAAGGACACCCTCCCTCCAGTGTCCACATCCAGTTCACCCCAGAGGATTGGGCAAGTTGACATATTTATTTTTGTCTATTCTGTAGGCTTCCATGTCCAGAATCCTGCTTAAGGTTTTGGGGTACCTTCAGTACTTTTTGCAATAAAAGTATTTCCTATCCATTTGGGGTCACTGCCTTTGTCCTCCTGCTACTGTCTTCTGGGACTCCTTTGGGCTGAGGCCAGATGTCGGGGGAATAGGCAGCATGGAGTCCAGGGCTCACACTGAGGGTCTTAAAAAGCCTTCCAGGCCCTTTCTCATCTCAGACTGTAGCAAGAGATGAAGCAGTGGAAAAGACATGCCCGAGAGGCAGGGTGTGGTGGCTCACACCTGAGATCCCAGTGTTTTGGGAGGCTGAGGAGGGAGGATCACTTGAGCCCAGGGGTTCAAGACCACCCTGGGCAATACAGGAAGACCTTGTCTCCATTTAAAGAGAGGAGAGGCTTGAGAAGTAAATGCTGTGGCGTGGATGATGCCCGGCAAACCTGCCTGCTCCAAAGCTGGTCTCTGCCCGTTTGTCCTCGACCCAGGCCCAGCTCCCACAACCCTTCCTGAGGTTGCGGTACATACAGGTAGTGGTGAGACTCCCATCTGCAATGGGATGGCCTTTGGACCTGGGGAGGTGGAGCCCTTCAAATACAGTCCCAAACCAGGCTGTGATTCCAAAAAAGCTGTCTGACTCAGGATGTTTTTCACATCTGCAGAGTCCGTCTGAACCTGAGGGAGAAGCCAGTGTCTTGGCTGGGAAGGGGAGCAGTGTTGAGACCGCAGTGGGCTTTTTTTGTTTTGTTTTGTTTTGTTTTTTTAAGACAGGGTCTCATTCTGTTGCCCAGGTGGAATACAGTGGTACAATCTCGGCTCACTGTATCCTTCACCTCCTAGGTTCAAGGGATTCCCGTGCCTCAGCCTCCCAATGCGCCACCACACCCAGCAATTTTGTATCTTTAGTAGAGAAATGAAACTGTCAGTAACTTACCCAGGGCCAACTTAGGAAGAAATTTAAACATAAGCAATCTGCTCTGGGGCCCACATGCATTTGCTCCTTGACACATAGTACCCCACAGCTGTAGAACGTGGGGAACCAAAGCCTCCTGGACACACAGACCAGGCTGCTCTTGAAGGAAGGGCCCCACCCTCCTCAGGCCCCCAGGCGTGCTTAGCTACACTAACTGGGCCCAATCCTTGATTCTGCCCAACAAGGCCAGCCCCATGGGTCCTGACCCCTCTACTGAACTCCAGAAGCTTTGTGATGAATTTTTTTTTTTTTTTTTTTGAGATGAAGTCTCGCTCTGTTGCCCAGACTGGAGTGCAGTGGCCAGATCTCAGCTCACTGCAAGCTCCGCCTCCCGGGTTTACGCCATTCTCCTGCCTCAGCCTCCCGAGTAGCTGGGACTACAGGCGCCCGCCACCTCGCCCGGCTAGTTTTTTTGTACTTTTTAGTAGAAACGGGGTTTCACCGTGCCAGGATGGTCTCGATCTCCTGACCTCGTGATCCGCCCGTCTCGGCCTCCCAAAGTGCTGGGATTACAGGCTTGAGCCACCGTGCCCGGCCCTTAGTAATGAATTCTATCCCCAGAAGCTGGCATCACCTCAGCTCTAAATTAGGAATACTAGAGCTCTATCTGGACCCCACTGTAAAATCTTGCAATAACAAGGAACATAATACAGATGTGGAGAGCAGCCAAGGCCAGAGGTTTGGTCCCCAAAGGAACCCCATCCAAGCCTCACTCAGCTGAGGTTTCCTGACAGGAGGGAAAGCTGCCAGCTGAGCTGAGGCCCACACAGGACCGGGCAGGACACCACTCTGTCCTGAGGGCATGGGTGGGAAGGCAGCACCTCCCCGACTCCAGGACACTGGAGAAGAGACTGTCAGGCTGAAATACGCAAGTCCAAAGCCACACGGTTTATTGGGTGGGGCCAAGTGGGCTCTGGTGGCCAAAGTGGGCTATGTGTCACAGTCCTCAGGGACAGCAGCTGTGATGATGAGGGAGGGCTCCAGGACACCTGGGCTGGTGAAGCTCTCCTCTGCACACAGTCTCTGGCCTGGGAGCTGGGAGGCCAGGCCGCCCTGGGCCAGGGATTCCACAATGACCTCCGCCGAGCCCACCTCCAGCTCCGCAGGCGGCTGCAGCGCCACCACCACCATCTTCTCGTCCTCGATGATCAGGTTGCGGAGCTTGCGCTGCCGTGGGTTGTAGTTCTCCACCCGGTCGTGGATTTCCATGTGCCTCCGCAGGTGGGCCTGGCGGGGAAAGTGAGCTCAGGACTTCGGGGGATCCTGGGGGAGGGGAAGGGGCCTAGGGCCTGGCCTACCTGCCGCGTAAACTTGTAGCCGCACTCAGTGCACTCGAACTTCCTCACCCCCTTATGTCGTCTGACATGCACACGCAGTTGCTCCACGGCTGCGGGAGGGAGAAGAACACGCAGGGGATCGTGCAGGAGCCCCGGGACCCTCAAGGAAGCCCAGCAGGAGGTCGGGACAGGCAGCAAGGGAGGGGACCAGGCCATGGGCATGGGGTTCTTTCTGTAGTACGTGGGGCCAGTGGTTTAAAAGTGCCGCACAGGCCCTGCCAGGCTCTCCAGTGCCACCCAGGGTCACTACTGCACAGGACACCCCTGCCTTCGAAGCAAGTCCACTCTCAACACTACCGTGTGGGGCACCAGAGAGGTTCACTGGCAAGAAAGCGTTTCCTCCTCAGAGACCCTCCAACTCAGATGAGCAGGAAAAGGCTCTCCCAGGGTCGCCCAGGTACCTTTGAAGGTCTTGCCGCAGATCTGGCAGAAGTGGGGCCGGCCCTCCTGATGGCGGCTGGCCACGTGCCTCAGGAGGGGCCCCTTCTCAGTGAAGCGCTGTTCACAGAACTCGCAACTGAAGGGCCTTTCCCCCGTGTGAGTGCGGTTGTGCTTGTCCAGGCTGGCTGCAGGCACAAGGCAAGAGCTCAGCCTGGGGCCTTGCCTCGGGATGGGGATGGGGAGGGGCGGGGCGGGGCGTACCTCACCTTGGGTTCGGAAGGTCTTGCCACAGAGGTGGCACTGGAAGGGCTTCT